TTTTATAAAATCTTTACTTATTTTTCCTTTTGCCTGCCATTGCCTAATATCCAATTTATCTGACAAATGAAGGTAATATTCCTAGAATCTAGCAATAAAGTGGACTTATCCCAAAGAGTAAAAAATGCTTTCTCAGTGTTAAATAATTTGTTTGTGTAGTTTTCAATGTGACTCATTTCAATAAGTGTTGCTTTACAAATTAGACACGATTGATAAGAAGATAATGAGACTTTTTGTCTTAAGACACTGCAAGCCTTAGGCTGTTACAGAAGAGAGATCAGATTACTTAGAACAAGCATCCAGTTTTTAGGCTGCTTGATTTAAACAATCAAAAAGTAAATTTTTTTATTCAAGACAAGAGTATAAAGTTGAGTCGTTAGCAAATAGAGGCACTTTAGATGTAGAATTTTCATGAAGATGGTTATTGTAGATAAGAAACATAACAGGAGCAAAAAACTTGTGGTACCCTTAAAGTTACTTGAAATAAATATATACACCTTCAAGAATAACTTCAATTCTGCAGTTAGAAAGAATTAACTTAATATTCTTAAAAAATTTATATAAAGAAACTAATAACAGAGTGAAGACTAATCATAGGATAGTTAGAGAGGTCAAAGTGTTTTCTAGAGTTTTGAAAAATTGAAACCACCTATTTAGAATAAACAGGGGTTCCAATTTGAAAAAAATTGAAGAGAATACTGGAGAACACTTTTTTAAGACTATGATGGAATCTTGTCTGGAGCACAAACTGTAGAAGTGTCTAATTAAGAATTAACTTTTAACCTAACATCTGAGATAAGAAACAAGATTTAGTAAACTGAGAATGACAGAGCTTAACATCAGACAAGACCTTATTATAACGACTTCTTAGAATAATATGAGGACATTTATTTACAAGAAAGATTCTTGCAGAAAAGTTGAAAAAAAAGATTACTGTTTAATAAAGCAACTGCTCAAAATGGTGAAAAATGCAGAGTAGAATCAGGCTTGACTTAATATTGAAGAGAAGAAATAGTAGCTTTCAAGCTTTTATTCCAGAAGGAATAAAAGCTTCTAAGATTTGTTTTATGCATAGATATTATGGATATAAACATATCATTGGGGATAGTGCAAAACCACATAACTAGCATTGGATAATACCTTGTATCTACAGTACATTTTTTGAAAAATTTTTTGGAAAAGTTTAAAACTTTATATATTTTTTATTTTAACTGGTTTTGGGTTCATTTTAGAATAAAGTGTATTATTCATGTTTTTTGTAATCTCAACAATAAATATTTGGTGTTAAAATTGATAATATCAAAATATAGTAGCCAATGCTAGTTACGAGGATTTGCACTACTTTAGACGATATATGTTTGCAATTTGTTTAGAAGCCAGCAAACAATATCCTTTCATGTTTATACAAACTTAAGTATTAATATGGTGTAGTATTTGTCGAAAAAGAAGGTATGACTCAATAAGAAATGGAGGCATAATCTTAGACAGATTAGAAAAAAATGTCTTGATTTAGGTATCAGCATGTAGAAGGGTAGTAGCTTCAGGAGAAAATGGTAGAAGTAAAAAAACTTGAAGAGAGTGCCTTATATATTGTATAAATGAGGTTTAGTTAAGGAAAGAAAATGCTCTAGATTGTTTATATTAGAGAAACAGCATTAAAGAGAAAGGCTATATAAAGGCCATATATATAGCCCATAAATATAGCTGTATTTTATCAAACCTGGCCCCGGTCAAATATTAACCCAGTCACTTATTTACATCTCATCGAACTTTTGGTTAAATTAGGAAAAATTACTGACTCCATCAAATTTTCAATTTACAACAAAAATTAACTCAATTAAGTTCTTTTCTTTATTAGTAAATTAGATATGATTTGCGCCTCTTGTGGTTCTCTTATTCTTTAAATAGTATGTATTAGAAAACTTTCTAATGGCACACTTTCCTCCTTGTCAAAGATGTGCATATTATTTAGTCTACATTTTTTATTAGATTCCAGAATAATGCAGTAAAGAGGAAAAGTGTCTGTACCACTCTCTTTACTTTACAATCTTATAGCCATGTACTAAGATTATATAAAACCATAACTTAATAGAAGTTCTTCTTCTGGAGACAATTTTTTTTTCTTTATCAATATCTTTATTGATATCATATACGTTAATCTTGTATAGTGCATTTTATAATTTTTTCTAAGTTCTTATTACTTATTTGTTTGGCTGTGTATTTTACTGTTTTGAGTATACACATTTTATATCATATTTAGCTTTTTCAGACAGATTTGAAATTGTGATTCTTTTAGCTTGTTTTCTTTTGTTTTTGAAAGGAATCTATGCTGCCCTCTCTTTAAATCTGTTGTTTCTGATATTTTTAAGAGTTTCCAGATAAGTTCTTTAAATTCAAAATTGAATTCATGTTTTACCCAGGAAATTTATGTTATTATGTGGTTTGCAACTTTAAAAATTTTTATCTTAAGCACCTTTAATTTTTGTAATATTCTTCTTCT